GTGTGTCTGTATGAAATGCTGACACTCTTCTCTTCAATTTTTCAAGTGGCCTGTACAGCATCAGAAGAAGATATGGACAGAAACAATGTTGAACTAAAATGGTCCAGAGAAACCAAGCTGTATTCCACATCGGGTGACTATATTGAATTTGACTGTAAAGCAGGATATGTGAAAGAGCAAGAGCCTTCCCACTACAAAGTCCAGTGTGTGGAGGGAGTGTTGGATTACCCACGATGCAGGCTGGGAAGTAAGTCATCTCCTCTTCAGCCACAGATTAGCTGCTGCGTTGTTGCATTTTTGGTGCTGAAAGGGGAGCAAAAAGCCTTTCCCTTTCCTGGGGAAGTGCCTGGGGAGGAACCAGAGTGCAGAACCCTGTTGTAAGCTACAGGCAGGGAGGGGCAGCAAGAAGCCATTGGCCAGCATTCCTGAGCTGGAAAGACTGCTGGGGAAAGGGCACAGTAGTTTCACAGCATCAGTTGTCGGGTGTGAGATCTACAGGCAAATAATGAAAGTCCTTTTTTGCAGGGAGCTGTACAGTGAATACAAACCATACGGAAAGCAACAATATTCAACTACAGTCACCCCAATCAAGAACTTCCACCTATCGCTCTGGGGATTTTATTTTCTTTGAATGCAAAAGCGGGTACCGACAAATTTCAAGAACTGAGAAATTTAGAGCACAGTGCCTGGATGGAGCAATTACATATCCTACATGTCAGTGTAAGTGCACAGTGCTGAGGACACAGGGTGGGAGTTGTAGGAGGCAGTTTTGACGGAATTGCCTGACCACTGCTCTGAGGAGCCTCTGTGGTGCCTGAGGATTGGTATTCATGACTTTCCCCCTTTTTTGTCTTTACACTGCAGCCAGGTTTGGATAAATGGAAACGGCGTGAAGGAGGCCAGCTGCAGAAATAAGAGAACCCTCAGCCAACCCCGTGATTTGAGCTCAGTTTTTCCTGGTGTTTCCCATTTTGCTGTGCTTTGTTTGCAGCTTAGACAATGTTCTGCCTTGGAATTTGTTTTTATGATTGGATGATTGTGTTTGCATATTATCCACATTTTATCCATTTTTGTAAATGTATTTACATTTTGTCCATCCAAATGGCTGTGCTTGCATTTTATCCATTCTATACTGATCTCACTGTTATTTTTATTAACAATTGTGTCCTGAAATAGGCTGGCTTTGGTGGCATACTGAGACAAGAATTAAAGCTCGTGAGTAATTTGATTCTCAGCACTTGTCTATTCCTACTTTCTTGTCCACGTGCTTGCCTGGAAACTACCCTTGGGTCACAGCTGAGGTGAGTGTCCTGAGTACCTGATCAGGAGGAGCAAGTAAGTGGAGCCCACAGCTCCATCTGCTCTTCACAAACAAGGACAAAGTGCTTGTGGAAAGCAGCAGCAGCCTTGCTGTGGTAACTGTGTACTAATGGAGTTCATGATTCAGAGGGGAGAGAGGAAAGCAAGTAGAGTACAAATCAGGCCCCCTAGGAGAGCATGATTTTGACTCTTTTAGGAGACTAGTAGGTGGGATTGCTTGGGAGTCATAGAGAAATCCAGAAAAGCTTCCAGTCTTGAAGGACAGAATCTTACAAGCACAAGAATATTCCAGTTTGGTCTTCAGGAAGAAAAACACATCTACCAGGACTGGCTTGATGAATTCAGGACTTCACATAGATCTCTGAAGTAGAAAAGAAATCGATGTACAGGAGCTTGAGGCAAAAACAGACTGTAAGCTGAGCTGTCCATGGCATTGACTTGGCATGTATGGATAACATTAGGAAAGCTGCAGCTGACCTAGTGACACTCACGGGGACATCAAGGGTCAGAAGAAGATATTCTACTGCTACACTAACATTAAAACAATATATACAAAAAATGTGGTGTGTCACTAAAAGGGGTGATTTAGTGTCAGCAGGCCCACATGAAGCTCAAGTACCTGAAGCATTCTCAAACTTCAGTAACAAGATGCTGTCTTCATGTCTGCAGTCTGCCTCATCCTGCCCTCTGCTAACAGATGCACATTCAGCCTATTCAGAGGAAGTGGCAGGCGGGGGTAAAGGAATTCTGCTTCCAAAAGACGTTCCAGCAACTGACTTTTAATCCCTCTCTCTCTCTCTTTTCCCCAGTTTGCTCTCTAAAGAGAAGGGTATTTTTACATTTAGCAAATATTCTTACGCTTCATCGAGAGCTTCTCAAAGGAAAGGAGTCTGGGCATCAGGCCCACCAACTTCATTACATGAAATATTTTAAAGCCAATATAAGTTGTTGAAAATTCCCTGGGACACAAGCTTATCTCGGCTAAAACAGGCCAGTCTGAAGCAGCACATCCAACACTCAAAACCTGGACCGTTACAGGAGTTGCCCTGATCCTCCATGGATTTATACCAAGACCAAAGTCAGATTTCTTAGTTATGTACCACAGAAATGAGAACTTAAATGGAAAACAGAAATTGCAATCTATACAGGGTTTTGATTAAATAAGCAGAATTTATCTGTTTCTCAAATGCTTTAATTTCTTTTTTTGTTTTATTTATTCATGTAACACTTGCAAAAACCTTGGAAACCCATACAGAACACCATGCATGCACTGATTTCACAGACAGATGAAGTTTAGACATAAAATACAGAAGAAACCCTTATAGTGGCTTTTTTATTAAAACCAACTAAAATGGGTGCAAGGCAAACATTGTCCACATTCCTGAATTTTCTTCATATCTTCAGTCACACATGTTCACAGCAGAGCCTTAAGGATACCCATATTTAAGTGTCATAGGAAATCATACAAAGTAGTTGGATTGGATATTTTAATATTCTTAATTATCATTCTTAATATTTTAACAACTCAGTAAAATTTGCATATTATTATGTTTTAAATGGTTTTATAGATCCCTTAAAGAATTTTTTTAATACTTTCTGATTTATCTTGTTCCTCAAGCCTTGTCCTTTAGAGGCTCCTTACCTGTGAAAGGAGACATGGGGTGCTGTTAAGATGTACAAAGTAACAAGCCTCTCCTTTCTCACTGTCAAAGTATAGCTAAACATACATTTGAAGGGCATGAAATTAAATCTCCATTTAGGCATACTCTGTAGTCACAAAATCGCTCATGCTATCAGTATCCTCACAAAGGGCACTACTTTGCTCAGTGTCTTCTTGTCGTGGCTCAAGTCCTGCAGATTGTGATGCATCCCCAAGTTGAGCACTGTAGGCCTTGTAAAACTCCTTCATCCCAAATTTTCCACGTGTATGCCAATCTTGCATTCTTCTGCTGCACTGCTAATCCTCTCACCACAAAGCACTTGCACTTCCCTCCCCCTTCAGCTCAGACCCAGCAATGCCACTGAACACTCATTTCTCAAAGCTGACTGCAGTGACCTTGAAAATATAGGCCATCTTAATTCAGCTGGGAACAGTAGAAAAAGAACATGTACATACCTTTCCTATAGGCTTTCCTGGAGTCCAGACTTATTTTCCTCTTTCAACACACCTCGGATATGTCAGTTGTCCTCTCTTACACTGTACTTGAAATAAAGTTGTACCAGATTCTGCTCCAAAATGGTTCTGTTTACAGTAAAATCCAACATAATCCCCGTGGTAAAAGTAAACCTGATTTGCATAGAAGCCTTGCAGCAGCACATTATTTTTCTCCATTTCATTTTTTGACAAAGTACATGGCTCTAAAGGAAGAGAGATGAAGACAGACTTTTTAGTAGGGGCTGCAGCAATAAGACAGAAGGTAATGGTTTTAAACTAAATTCAGCCTAGATATAAGGAAGACATTTTTACAATGAAGGTTGTAAAACACTGGATCAGCTTTCCCAGAGAGGTCATTCCCCATCCGTGGAAGCATTCAGTGTCAGGCTGGGCAGGACTCTGAGCAACCTGATCCAGCTGAAGATATCCCTGCTTATTGCAGGGGGGATGGACTTTAGGGCATGGCCTTTACAGGTCACTTCCCAAATGTTCTGAGTCTATGAATTATATAGAGAAATAGGAGCTGATTTATCTTATCACACCTACCTATACAAACTGGTGGCAAAGTCCACTGCCCTTTAGAACAGTAGATTCTCTCAGATCCTTCCAAAAAATGATAGTCAGAGCAACTATACTGAACTGAGGAACCACTGTCATACTGGGTCAGTGGTGGGAGAGTAAGAGCTCCATTTGCAATAGATGGTGGAGAGTCACATTTTTCTGTAGGAGCTGGAATAACGTGAAAAACAATTGAGAAACATTCAGCATAAGAAACTAACAAAGCAGCAGCTTTACCAGAAATTGGGGGCACACAAAGGATTTCTTTTTATAGTTGTCTTTCTACAGAGCTTTCAGTCCTCTGGGCTTGGAGAAGAGGTTCTCCCTCCTTTCCACAGCCTTGCCCATCACAGGAATGTGAATCATTTTCCCATGCTTGGATGTATTAAACAACAGAGTTGTCTTGTGCAAGATATCTGTGCATATCTGTGTTGTTGAAGCCTAAACATGTATTATTTACAACAGACTGTAGGCCTGCACTGCCAAAGTAAATTGTTTCTAAACAGAGCTAAGACTGATTCATTAAAAAGGAAGGCAATAAAAAATTATTGTTTTACCTTGCATAACACATTTTGGATATTTCAGTCTGCCATGGTCACACTGTGTCCTCCCAGGAGACAGAATGGTAGTGTGGAGAAAATTATATCCCTGTTTACATTCAAACTCTATGAGATCTCCATGTAGGAAAATTAACTCTTCCTGTCTCCATTTCAACTCTATGTTGTTGCTGTCCATATCAGTTACATTAAGAGTGCATGGTTCTAGGAAATAAAAAACAACCTTAAGTGATTTCTTAGCTCCGTTTTGGAGGAGCAAAGAAAGAAATCCAAATCAATAGTTCTAAAATGTTTCTGAATCTTGCAAGAAAAAGAAAAGAACTATTGATGCATAATAAATACAAATCTAAAGAAATGGGCTGATATGGCAAAAAAAAACCATGCAAAAGGAAGTCTAAACTGGGAACAGTAAATCACAGAAAACACATGCTTATGACAAAATTTGGATTTTACATGCATTTGTAAAGATATGGCAGCATAGGTTTACCATTGAAAAAGAAAAGATCTTCTTTACTGTAACTGGAAAGGACTTTTTATATGAAAATAGCCGTCCACCAAAATTAACCTGTCAGATATGACTGACAGGTTTGGTAAGCCTTTTCCGGATAGTAGTACCTGATACACAGTAAGTTTACACTGCTACCCTAAAGAAGTGATTTGACAATTCCCTTTTCTTTGCTTTTTAATTTGTTTTGTCTCCATGAAAAGAATTTAGAGATCTTCCAAAAATATTTTGGAAATTTTGTGTTCTTCTTTGGGCTTTTTCAGGTTATTCAAGGTCAATATTGCTTTGGATACTTTCTGACAGGTTTCTTAAAACTTAGTGCCAGGATCACATCAAGATCACGTCAGCTTCCCATTAGATGGTTAACCTCGTTCACTTCTGAAATGACAGAGGGTCACTTATAAATTTCTACAAGTTCCATGAGAATCACTTGCCCTTACTAATGCTTTATTGAGGAAAAGGCAAGGAGAACTCAGGTATTAGGCAGTCTGGTGACTGCACCGTAAAAATAAACTGGAACGGATATTTTCCTGAACCTAACTACAGCACGTGCTCTTTCTGCTCTAATTAGGTGAGGGTTGAAAAGAAATCTCAGAAAACATGGAAAGGATGATGTGGCTATTTGGATGCTTAGGAGAAAAATAAGGCTCACAGGATTTCATTATTTCACAGGATTTGTTGAATTTGAGTCTTCAGATTAAAAATGCTGACCTGGACCTTTCAATCAAGACAAGGTAAATTTTATTCATTTAGAAATAAGTAATTAAAACTGAACTGGTTGTTTATTTTCATTTTCCCAGTAGATTGCAAATGTAAAAGGAGACAATTTAACAAAGCATGTTAGTAAAATAGAATTATTTCATTACAGGAGGGAAGGAAAGATAAACAAACAGCTCTAGTATATCACCAGAAGCAGTATTCCTGCTAGCATTGGTAGATTTCTAGTGAGAGTTCTAGACATTGTTTTGAACAGCATTTAAAGACAGAAAGAAATTAACTGAATGGAGAATATGAAAGAAAGGAATTGGAGAATCCTCTTAGGTAACAGGGATAGTTGTGTTCTAGAAAAGCTCACTCAGGAAAACAGGGGAATCTATTTTAATGGGGGGG